CAATGAATGCAAAACTAACAAGGAGCTAAATAAATGACAAGACTTCTGTGCTTATGGTTGGTGTTATGGTTAGAACACGAATATCCATAACAAAGACTCTGTCCTTTGCTTGTGACATGATTGTGAGGTGATTGCATTGTGGAGACGCCAACTTAATCAACAGGTTGAACTATTAAGTTCATAAACAATGAGCTCTTCAGAATTGGGATCTGGTTAGACAAAGTACATGCTGTTGGAAGTTGTATCTTCTTGATGCCCCTTCTCTCCTTGTCTTCCTTTCCTGACTGTAATGTGACGAGCAGCCTCCACCTCCATAGTCTCTCGTTGCTGTTATTGTCTGTCTCATCCAAGGGGAAAAGTCATATAGCCAGAGAAGATACAGTAAATATCTGATACTATAATCCAAAAATAAATTTCTCCTCCTCCTGCTCCTCCCCCTCCTCCTGCTTCTCCTCCTCTTCCTCCTCCTCCTCTTCCCCCTCCTCCTGCTCCTCCTCCTCTTCCCCCTCTTCCTCCTCCTCTTCCTCCTCCTCCTGCTCTTCCCTCTCTTCCTGCTCCTCCTCCTCTTCCCCCTCCTCCTCCATCACCCTGCCACAGCCACACTCCTGCCTGCCCCCTCCTGGCACCCACATGAACAGTCTTGGGCAGCTTCTGCAGCAGCCCACACCACACTTTCTCCTTCATACCTTGTAGCAACAACCCTGTGTTTGGCCTTTTAGAAATCATAGTGAGGTCGTAGGATTACAAGCCCAGGATCATTGCCACCCTTATGAAGGGTGCGACAAGCACCTCCCCCACACACACACACTCCAGAATGGCTTAGAGGCAACACCCCATATTGGGGCTCTGCTTTACCGCTGACACGGGACACAGAGCCGGCATCTGACGATACTGAGCCTGATGAGCTCCAGCTGTATCTGTGAGGCATCTAAGTGGGGACACAGAGGAGCAAGGTACCAAGGCTCCTCCACCGAGTTGGGTTATGGCTCCAGGATCAGATCCACCATGGGGGAACTCCTGCTTCCTCTACCAGACAGTAGAGTAGGTGAGAGATCTGCCCGAGTCTCAACTTCCTTCCCCATAGAATGAGGGAAACAGATTCAACTTATCTTATAATTACAAATAAGAAAAACGTTGAGACTGTAGTTCACTGCCTTATGCCTGGGAAGCATAAGACCCTGTATTCAATACCAAGTATGGGGAAAGAGGGACAGAGGGAAGGAGGGAGAGAGGGAGAGAGGGAGGAAGGAAGGAAGGAAGGAAGGAAGGAGGGAGGGAGGGAGGGAGGGAGGAAGGACGGAAGGAAGGAGGGGCACACAAGGACAGATCTGTGTAGAGTGAGAGAATTGAGGTATGTACCAAACACCCCTTCCATGGCTGGTTGCATGTCCATGCCATTTGCCTAGGCTGCTGGCTTGATGTGGGTTGTGGTCAACCCTTGGA